AGCGTGTGTGGGCAGGCGTGTGTTTACCGCCATATTGCCAGGTGTGTCTTTACCACCATATTTGTCCATCCGGTTTAGTTATAATTTAAACTATTATTTGGTGCAGCTTTAGCGCTATTGGCTAAAAGACAGCTGAACTCTTAATCATTGTTGTGATTTGCTTTCAAGCAATGTGCATAATCAGTAAATTGATGTTAAAAAATGTGGTTTATGATTTTCCTTTTCTTAATTTCGTATTTAGCGCTTTTGAGCGTCATTATTATTTTTTCATTATTTCGCACCAAGTTATTATTTTTGTGGAATTCTCTAGCTTCTGTTTGTTTTGCAGTTGTTCTTGTGCAACCCGCCCCCCCCCCCCCCCCACACACACACCCATTTTTCGATGCTTAGTTGCAACGCTGACGCCAAGACCTCTGGTCGGTTGAGTTGCTCCCAGCACATCAGCACGCCGTCCCTAGATCCCCTATGTTTTGTCCTTTTCCTCGTTTCTTTTTGTTCTCCACCTGTTTTCCAGTAGGGCTGTGTCAATATTAAAAAAATCCATCTTCAATAGCCAAAATGTCGAGAAGGAAGAAATGAAAAAAAAGAAAAAAAGTAGCAGAGGATGGTTTCGATCCATCGACCTCTGGGTTATGGGCCCAGCACGCTTCCGCTGCGCCACTCTGCTTCACACATACACACAGCATCCTAAACGCACAGCTATCACCAAGAGTCCATAAACTTTTTTTTGTTTTGTTTATGCACTCTTGCAAGTAGTAGTAGACTCGACTCATTTCACCCATGCAATGAGGGAAAGGTCTGGCACGGCTCCGATACCGAGGTACGGAGGGTTTTGAAAGGATTGAAAGTGATACACTTGCATGTACCGGTACAACTAGTAAGTACTAAAAAAGGAGTATGGTGAACTCGGTCTCAGTACAAACCGTCCTAGTGCTGGAGAAATTGCTGAATTATGCTTTCCACTATGCCCAAATTATGCCATTGATTATGCTACATTATACTGGAATTATGCCAATGATGGTACTATACTGCACCCTTGCACTCTTGTTGCACTTTTCAACGTAACAGCAACTCTGGCACCATGACAGCACGGCTTATAATGGGTAACATTCAACAGATTATTTCCTGTAACGTGCCTAAATCTGCCTGGAGCATTAGTCCTCAGCCAGCATCGTAAGGTTATGCCGACCGTCTGGTCTCAGAAGTCCTTTTATGCCAGGGCATAATTTTTAGACAAAATCCGAAGATTATGCCAGAAATTATGCCAGGGTCATCCGCTAAGAGCTAGTGACATACATGTATCTCTTCCAGTACAGAGTTATCTCTCCAACCGGGACTAATGGCCACATACATGTAGTACTGAAACGTTCACACCATCTCGAGACATGACTCCGCGTTGATGGGCCTACTTGTCAGATACTGCACTTTCCTATGGGAAGAGTCAGTTGATCTGGGTGGAGAATAGCGTCAGGAAAATCAGCATGAAAAAGTTAGGCAGTTGAACCGCGCATCCATATCTCTATTAGACTACCGAGAACCCCGTCAAACTGGGAATGGCAATAAACCGTGAAGGACATTCGCACAACCGATAAGCTAATGTTACTTGCGCAGCTCTCACCGCGGCACTGAGAAGGGATTTCCACCACGGCTCCCAGCCAGAGCACCTTTATTTACTGCCAGAATGCTGTTTCCGCCGCAGCAGTAAAACATTTCACTCTGGCAAAGTGCCAGTACCGTCACGTGATCAAATCACCTTGAAAACTTTCCCATTCCGGCTCTTTTTAGCGGTAGTCTGAACGCGCTCTTTTCCGGGCGGTCCGCGACCGGGTACTGCCCGCTAGGCACCGGCGGATTATGCCAGCATAATTATTGGCATAATTTGGTGGTTGAAAATTTGGAGCGTAATTTGGCATCCTTTCGGAAGTAGGAGCATAACTGCATGATTGTACCACAGTTCTAGTACGTAGGCTACACAATTGTGTACAATGCACCTGATCAGTGCTGGTAGTCTGCATGGTAAAGGGTTCGGGGGTCATGCAGATAGTGTTTTCAATGGAAAGCAGGGTAGAACGCATGGCAATACATTATTGTATGCTCGAACTCGTCTTCTTCAAAGTTCCTTCTCACAATCATTGAATGGGACAGTACATGCAGCAGAAGATGTGAGTGAATCAGCCGTTATCAGGTATGCTGGGGCGGACGAGATAGTGACGGGTAGTCCGCAAAACTCCGCGTACATGGACATGTGCGTTATGCATGTTACGAAGGCATGACCTCTGAATTTTAGCAGCCATGACTGTGCAGGCTATGGATATTGCTCTAATAAAAAAATGAGGTATAGTTGATGTTTGGTCATGATGGAAGAAGAGGTGGAGCTACGGGAGAGATGAGCCGATTAATCGCAGGGTGAGGGTGGCATTGGTTGGACGAGTATGGCGATTATGAAGACAGTTGAACATGATAATTTTCAAAGGTAACTCAAACTAATAATTATTTGGCAATGAAAGAATTTTTTCACAAAAGAAGTCAACTAATGAATAGAAGACATAATGTTTCTTCTTTTCCATGTTGACCTCTAGTATGCATGAACACCTTGGTATGGATATACTCGTGTCACATTTTGTTGTACTTGTGGCCACTTGCAAGTACGAAAAGGCACAATTTTCCGAACTTTGAGGCTCCATAAGTACAACAAAGTGAATATGTATCCCCACGTGCCAAAGAATAATACGAGGATTTTGTGAGCATAATGTGAGAATCCATGAAAGCATAATTCCATGATTTCGCGAGCATAATCCACCGGAGCCTACTGCCCGCAACTTAGGAAAGTCCGCAATTCAGAATCGTATACGTTTCTATTGGGAAGGGCCAGAAAATGGGCATGAACTGTCCCTCTGTACACACAAAAGGGCAAAAGAGTAGTAATATTTCCTCCAAAACGCACACACAGGGTGCCCGGTAGACCGAGGCGGCGTAACGTCAAGGCTCGGACAAGATACCGGTACATCTACATACGAGTAACGAGGGCACATGTGATCAGCAATCATAGCTATGGCCAAAGAAACCAAACCCCACGGAACACGGCCATGAGGATAGATGACGAGATGCACTGGTGAGCGCCCTTTAACCGGTCATGCATGTAAGATAACGCTGCGTTGGGTCTGGGCGACCCAGGGTGAGATGCTGTTCACTGCCTTTGGCTTTGGTTCGAACCTCTTGTTTTCTTTTGTACTCTTTACCATGGCTGGTTATCGACCTCATCTCTGGGGTTGCTCCCCACATTGGCAATGCGTGGACATGCTACGAGATTGAGTTTAATAATACCGGTAATAATAATAACCAGACCAGGGAGTCATGAACGCCAACACCCCCCCCCCCCCCCTACCATTGTTGCACGACTTTCTGGTCGCTGGTAGAGTATCGTCCATCGTCCCGACTGCACTCTGCATAGGTAAAGGTCACTCACGCTGCTTGACCTATGAACCATTGAACCGTTCTACAAAAATATGTTTTCTAACATTTAATGACAAAGTTTTCGAAGAAGAAAGTCAACGATAAAACGTGGATTCGGTGGTCGAGGCCCTAGGGCCTAGGAGTAGCTCTAAAAGCCGCGTGTGAAACACTTGAAATACAACCTTACCATTCTTGGACTAATAGCCTGGGTAGGGATGGAGCTCAGAACTGCCTAGTTGTCGACACCGTCTTCGTGTTCGGACAGGCGAGTTGTGGATTGAGCGAGCCGAGCCGTGCCGATAAGTCATTCTCCGTCCAACGTTTACACTTAGGGTGTTCATTCTACCAAGCTAGAGGAATATCAGGAGCTGAGTCACACAGTCACGGGAGAGTCAGAGTCAAGCTGAATGAGAGCTAGCTTCAGCCATGCAGAAAATCCACCCGACGGTTCCCACGGTTTGGTGTACTTTACCGGTCGAAGGCTGGTGCTGGAGCAGTGTGTGCTTTGAGTACATGTAGCGAGCGGAAAGCTTGCAGATCTGCATGACAGTGTTCAACAGTTTTGTGCGTGGACACAACAAGCCTGGCTCGCTCAGTGTGCGCTGGAGTAGGTTGCGCCTGCAGACTAGCGTAGTGTCGGTTCGAGGCAATAGCGACAGGCCAGGTAGTGCAGGTGTGAACGTCCAACACACAGGAGCACCGTGAAGAATGTCGCGCTTCAGAGTCAGAAAAGTCGCCGCGTGACAAACGAACAAGACGGGCGCTGGGATCGCAAGTGCCGGAGGGCAGGTGAGAATTTCTGCATGCATGCGCTTGAAAAGGGTGCTAGCGATAGAACCCATTACCACGGAATACTGTTGGTTGTGCCTTTGGCGGTTTCTGAGGCAGCTGTTGGTGCTAGTACAGTAGTATTTCTAATACTACTAGGGGCTGGGAAGAGGTAGCTGCCGTCTGGAGCCCCCTTCTCTGTACAAGTACTGCCCTGGACATGGAAATCCGGTCGCACGTCTAGGGCTAGTAGGGGCCCTAGGGTGCTGGCCTTGCAGCCTTGAGTACTAGTACGCGTGCGGTACGTACACACCTTCATTCAGTAATTTCACAGCAGCGTGAGTTCACTGGGTGTGATGTCATCATACGCAAGGCTATGCGATCATGCTTGTGCCTAGTGAGATAGAAGAAGAGTGATATTATTGGTTAGCAGTTAGCACAGGGAATGTACCGTGCTCCTCAATGAAATCCAGTCGTGTCACTCAAGTTTGTACCTTGCACCATTTTGCAGCCCTGTGTCCGCAGGTCTATGGCTGTGCAACGCCAGGCACATACCAGTACTTGAGTGACGCGACTGGATTTCATTGAGCAGGATGATAATTATGTCAGTGGTTGGTTGATGCTCAAACCAGTCCCCCCCCCCCCCCTGTGCCTCTCTGCTCCCTTTTCCCCTCTCCCCCCCCCCCCTCCCCCCTCCACACACACCTTCGTATGTACAAGATGAGCACGGCTCGGACTCACGAGCTTGCTGACTCTCTTAGCCAAGGCAGTCCTCTGTATTCGACATCAAATGACTTGAAAAGAAAATGAAAGATGTTGACAAAGAATTACTTTGTAACAAATGCAAGCTGGAAGATATTGTAATACACAGTGGTCTAGCAGCGTAATCTCATACAGAGTAGACAGAGGCACTAACTAGTGAGTAGCCATGGTGCATTACTGCATCCCCTGCATGCTGGGGAATCCCCTGCATGCTGGGGAAACTATCCATGAATGCATGTACGTGTATGTGTATGTGTATGAGCATGTTGGGTATAAATACAGGCAGGGATGGATATTCTGTAGTAAATTTAGTAAGCGCAATGCAGAGAGTAGGCCAACTGGTTCACCGTTTGCCTGGGAACAAGATACATTTGCCGATTTTGTTCACACACCATTGTTATAATTATTACTCAAACGGGCCTGATGGCAGCGGGTACATTGTACATAGAGCCAAGGGCGCTGAGACAGGAACCATTTCAAAGGCCCCCAAGCTACACGTAACGTGTTATGTACATATACAGCACAGTCGAGTAGCAGACAAAGAGACGTCATGCATGTCACAAGATCATTGTCCGGGCAACGGCCAATCAGCATGTCCATGCATGCATCATTCGTACAGTCATCATATCTTTAGAGATTATTCAACTTTGGGACAGGTAGCTGTTATGCAGGCTCAGTGGAACCGATCCGCTTGGTCAGGCCATGACCAGACCAACGTTTTGCCTTCCAACATGTGATTACTGCTGAGGAGGTCATGTGTATACCCTCCATATCATACACACACTGTATGAAAGTCATGTGACTACCCTCCATATCATACACAAACTGTATGAAAGGCGAGGATAGGCCCAGACCAATCAAAACCTCCTACCGCCAGTCATGTTACTGGATCATTTAGGGTTGTACGATGCACAAGGCGGGTCGCTTGGTGTCACAGGAACCTCTCCTGACAACGGGATGCAGTGTTGGACCTGTGAACTCAGAGATGTAATCACAGCCTGCGCCAGAGAGGTTGTTATTTTTGTAGAGTGCGGAGTTCGTCAGCGCATTCACGGACTGCCCGCCGGCACCCTTGAGCAGTCCATCTTCACCAGTTTGCAAACCTGCAGCAATGAGGACGCATATGATATTATATGGTGGAGAGAAGACATGGCGGTTTGAATCAAGGCCTTGGACTGAGTTTGTATTTTATATTTTATTCAGTGTAGATTCTCCACAGGTCTTAGCCTGATTCAAGGGAGTCTCCGTTACCTGTTTGCGTGCACAACGAGGACTATGTCTTCTTTAGAATTCATTCGCAATAATAGGTTTGCAGGTCTGAATAGAAACGCCTCTCTGGCAATTGAGAGCTAGCATGGTGTTGATCCACCTACAGTATTTCGTATACTAGTTAGTAGAAATAAAATATTATTCTGGTGAAAAGCAGTGATTTGAGTGTGAGCCAGTGTTGCTCACAACCAATTTTCTAGTTAGTAGAGTGCTTTCGAATCACATCATGCCGGCCATGTTAATGTCACAGGCTGTAGCAGCTCACATTCCATGATCACTTTCTAGTTTCTACACAAATCGAGGCATATGGCAAAGATGTGAAACCCCTAGTCGTTATTGGTCATGGGCTGCCATCACGAGGATAAAAATTTGGAAGTTGCACAAGTTGCTAATGCCAAGTTCATAGAACATGTTCGTTCAGACTACTAGTACACATAAGAAGCAGAGTGGCGCAGCGGAAGCGTGCTGGGCCCATAACCCAGAGGTCGATGGATCGAAACCATCCTCTGCTACTTTTTTTAAAATCTTTTTTTCTTCTGTCAAGAACATTCAAGGAGCATATATGACCATAATGTGGATTTTAATGATGGTGTTTATGCTGAGTGTGCAAATCACTACCCTATTTCCCGGAATATACGCCACGCTTTGAGTACTCAAAATTCACCGGAGCGGCTTATACTCAGAATGTCAGATGATCGAATTAATGGTGATAAATAGGAAAGATGTCTGTACTTTGTGGAAATAAATGGGGGGGGGGAGGGGTGTGCAGCTTATATTCAAGTACGGCATCTACTCCGGAAAATACGGTAAATTTGCTGCATTGATATCTTTCGTATCTCCAGGGAAATTTGTTTTATTCCTCACTTTATCTGTTCAGGCCACAAGTGCAGCAGCAATCGCTGGTGATGATGTCATTGATTTCATCCACTCCGGTATGGTGATGCACTGTCAGATTGTCATCCGGGATTGTTCACAGTCATGACTTCTCCCATGCAGGCCAGTTCTGCTTGATGAGTGCGACCAGTGGTGAGTAATGGGATATTTACACGACGGGCACTTGCACGTTTTACAGGGAGTGAAATACGAGAAAAGTGGCTGTGTGGATTCACACAGCCACGTTTGCATTTTTGAATGATTCAACGACCAGTAGCCATGGGTTTTTCAAATTTTCAAAACACGCATACAATAATTATCATGCTCTAAAGAGCCGCGTAAAAAATCAAGTCTTGTTTCGCGCTTTTTGGTGTAAATGCATTCATGGACGCCACGATTATCGCGTCGTGCACTTTTCAGCCACTTTCAGCCACTTTTCTCGTCCAACAGGTAAAATGCCATAGCAACTTTCCAGTGCACGTGGATTTGCCTGTCGTGTGAATAACCCATTACACACTATCTGCTACACTGTATGTTAAACGTAACAACAGATTTTGGTCAATGTGACCAGAGAGACAGGGGATGTTGTGGTTGTTGTGGTTGTTGTCCTTTGAAGTACTGTATACTATTCCAACCTTGTGTTTCTAACGCAGCGAGAGCTGAGCTCAGTTCCACGTTTGCATGGGACAGTGCACAGCTGCGTGTGTGAAGAGCATAGTATCTAGCTATACAGCTTTACAGTCACGCTGCTCAATGAAATCCAACCAAGCGAGTGAATGCCACGCCGGGTGCTGCACAGTCCAAGACCTGCAAACACCTAGATGTGTATGGATGTGAGGGGGGGGGGGGGGGGGGAAGCAAAAGTTTTTTCGTTGCCACAAAACGTGTACCGCACGCATGGTTTGTGAAATAGCTAGCGAATGATTGGCTGGCCGTGTACTTTTTTCTTTTGTCGTTTGAACAGAATTTTCCGCTGTCCCACTTCCTAATGTATATGCACCGTGTGGTTTGGAGTTTGGACCCAGCTTTTACCGTTTTCTAGTGATACCTGCAGAGGTGTACAGTGAGTTGTAAAAATTGTCAGTCACACACAGAGCGATGCTTTGCTTCTGTGCACCTTCATACTTTGGGTCTTGGGAAAATGTAAATGCCACGAGACCAGAAAAAAAGAAGAAAAAAGTAGCAGAGGATGGTTTCGATCCATCGACCTCTGGGTTATGGGCCCAGCACGCTTCCGCTGCGCCACTCTGCTCACATGTTTTTTGAACACCAAATACGACATGATACACATTCTCTAAACTCTGGTGGCGCAAAAGATTTTCCATTCTTGGCTTTTCAGGCTCGTTCTATATCCGAGTTACAGTTCATTTCGAAAGTGGAGCCCTCTGCGTCTAGTGTTAAAGCCAGTTTCAACTTGGCATGCATTGATAAACCCGTTACCTGTGAGATGGGGCATGTCCCCTATGTAACATGGGGTACACCACCTGTAAGATGGGGTACAATTCCTGTTTAAGATTGGGTACAACTCCCCCCCCCCCGCCCCTCTCCCATGGCATCACTGGTATGTAAGAGTAGAGGAATTGGCGGATTTAAATTTGAAAGTTCACTGTGTGGAAGGTTTCATATCAGGGTATAGCAAACATGGTGCCATTCACGGAGGGGGGGCGGGGGGGGGGGGGGGGGGTGGAGGGGGTCATTAAATGAAGTGGTAGTATAGTCTATGTTGCATGCACTGTTGTTACTTGTCCATATCGACTCCTCCCGGACAGCAAGCGTGAAGGCCATCAGTGCCAACCATCCTGAAGTGATCACGAGGGGCTTGGCTCCAGGTGCACTGCAGGTAAGGAATGGAGGAGCAAGGGTGGGAGAGAGGTGCAAACACAGAGTGTGAGGGAAATAGTGTGTGTGTGTGTGTATGTCAGAGAGACTGGGAGAAATACAGGGAGAAAGAGGGAGCAGGAAAGTATGCCGGTCTTGTCATTTTAAGCCCCTAGCCATACCAGGCATAAACAAAGCACTCACTTAGCGATCTCTGCACATTTTGAACGACCAGCTTCATAGGTGAAGATTGACCCAGGTTCAGCCTCACCGATGCACGTTTGTCCAAACTGGATCCAACCTATCAGGAAAAGGAGAACACAGTGGAAACCATTTCCCAGCATCAGTTCCACTCACAAGACGAGGCTTAACACAAAGGAAACTATTTTTTAAAGACTAAAACACCGAAGGACGGGCGGGATTGGGGAAGACACTTGCATTGGGGGAAGACGAAGGGCCAAACACAGAGCCTGAGACAATCAACTCCATGTACATCATCATGAAACAGGACTGCCGCCTTGAAGTTGTGCATTGTACTACTGTTGCGGCAAAGAACTCAAACAAATACACAACTGAGGATAGAGAAGGAGTGTGACTATGTCCTTGTGGGAGACACGCGGCGAGACCAGTTTCCCTGGCAACCAACCCCCAATGACCTAACCCTATGACCACAATGATAGGTCTCAATGCATAGTTTCTACCAGGTAGAAGATGCTTTAAACATGGTACTGTATAAGTAAAAACTTCGTTTGGAATTAACTTTCGCTACGTTCGTTACGGGGCACGAAATAACTGATGTCGGTACCAAACTAAAGTTTTTTTCTGAACGCTCGGGGTGACATACCTCGACCAAAACCGAAATTTAGTACCTAACGAAGCTGCTGGTGGAGGGATTTAACGAAAGATTTCGTAAAAGAAAAATTGTACTTTATATACAGTAATCCTAAAAAGGACACACTTCAGGCTCATTACAAACATCTTGAAAGTTTTACCACCTTCTTGCTGTATTTAATCCACTGTTCCTGTTCCTTTTCCCTTGCCCGTATTTCACCTGACGAGAAGGCTTGAAAGTATACTTGTGAAGACAAACACTTTCAAGATGTTTGTAATGAGCCTGAAGTGTGTCCTTTTTTATTTTATTTTATTGGGAACACAGCCCTACAAAGAGACATGTGGAGACAAACACAAGACAAGACACAGGGGATGTAGGGTAGTATGAGTATTATCGCATTTTTGTCTCAGAGGAAACTGTATACAGTAATCATAGTGGATTGCTGAGCCAGTTCATCATTGCAACCATGATTCTCTTATCCTAATCATTCGGCATGCTGGTAAGCAAAGCCGTGGACTCCCCATCCCAGTACGGCAGTTGTGTTACTTCACTGCATGCATGCATGCATGCAGTAGTGTGCTGAATAGGTTTACTTAAGTAGTGAGTATGGTCCTTGCAGAACATGATTAGTCATGACCTGCTAACTGTGGCTTACCTGTTACTGGGCAGACCCATGGGATACCCTGGACATTCACACACGCAAGCACGCATGCACGCACCCCCGCACACACACACACACATGCACATGCACTCATACACACATGCACACACACACACACACACACACACACACATACACACACACACAGATAGTGTCAGATACACACACGGACGATCACACTGCACAGATACAGACACATGAGCAGAATATGCAGTTCAGTAGAAACATTAGAAGTGGTACCATCATGAGGCACCGAGCTAAGCAATTGAGTTCTACCACTGTTTTCTGATGATCGCTTAGTGCGTGAAACTCTGAGTAAAAACACTTCCTCTGTCCCCCTATTGTTTGTTCTTCCACAGGTGTTTGTTAGGCCAACAGCTCCCCCCCCCCCCCGACCCATTTTCATTGAACCGACTTTGCACTGGGCAATGGGCTCAATAATCAGGGCAAGAAGCAGAGGGAGGATGACGAGAGGGGTGGGTGGGAGGGGAAGGGACTCTGATGTCCTGCCTTGACCGCAGATCATGTATTCATGTAGCACTTTCAAACTCGTGGGTGGGTGGGGGGGGGGGGGGGGTGGTATTGAGACAATAATTCATGTCTCAGTCGCCATCCAGTATCCATACTTGTATACCCAGTTGACAGAGAGCAGCATAGCCGAACCAAGTAACATGACCCGTGCCACAGTCAAGAGTTCACCCGTAGAAGTCGGTAGTCATCAGCCAGTGTTGGTGCGTGAGGTACTTTTGGACATCTTCTTTGAACGTGTGGGGCCGCTCTCACGAACTCATGTGTGACAAATCAACACGAATGAAATAGTTTAGAACGGAGGTGTTGTGAACCCTACCGACACAACTAGCACAGGTGCTAAGTCAATCACAAGGAGAAAGAGAGGTACACAGAATAAGCGGCACTAAAATAAAAGTGACTACACGCCACAAAGTATAGTGACGTCACAGTGGTGACAAAGATGGGTGTAGAGTATAACTAGAAGGTTCGCCGACTTATAATATTTGAGCTTTTGTTCGAGGGTGAGGAATTATGCGTGACAATTTATTCATGCATAAATTGGCACCTTTGTTCACAAGATGGCGTGTATGTAGCAGTGTGGTCATGTGACCTTCTTGTTTTGGAATTTGTTTGTTTCTGTGTGAGTGGTGTTGCATCGAAACCCGAGAGTTTGAGTTTCTTATGCTTTAATACCACCGTTGTATTAGAGGGGATGCTATGAAGATTACACTCCATGCTCGTACACGTATCTATTTCTCGCCAGTGACTAAGCGCTATTATCCTCCCATTCCTACATTGCTACCTTTTATGTTGCCATTGACACTTCGTGATCCATCAGATGTTTAAGTTCCGTGACAACGCCTGTAAGCTTTTTCGCATCATGGCTTCCTCCCATTTTCCTTTGTACTTCGCAGTACTACGTGCGTGCAAAATGGAGAGTTTTCTTAAAAGGGTGTGTTGATTCCACTGTAGCAACTCTATCTCTCACACAATCATACAACTCTACTTAAACGGTCACGATCTATTCTCACCACCTAACCTCTGCCCTAGTAGACCACTATACTCACTAGCAGATCCATCACCACATTCATACCATTACCGGCAACTCACACTTTTTGAAATACAAAAGCATAGCTAAAGCATAGTTCACCACTAGGTGCAATTGCTGTCAATTTCACAGAGGAGCTTTAGTCGTACTGTTCCCTTGACTTCTACGTTCGTTTTCGACTTTAGAAAACACTGGTTGACTGTAGTCGTCCTGCACTGTTTAACAGTTCCTACTTTGTCCAGAATACCAAGACGACCATTCTCTCTATCTGGTAAACCATTCACAACCAGTTAGTACTTGAAGATTGCTTTGGACCATAACTTACTTGTGAGCAGACCAAGACCTGTGCCCTGCAAGGGTACCGTTTCCTCGTGTGCCAAAGGTTGGAGAGAGTTCTACTACCGTTCGTTTCGTAGCAGGAGTAATGGCGACGAACGCTACTGATGATGCTGTGATGCCGGAAGAGGCCGACGATAGTCAAAATCGGGATCGCTTGGTACCCCAACCAGCTTCAACAATCCAGGTGTGCAAGTGGCGTGTGCCCAACGGTGCAGGTAGCGTTTGTGATCAGCTCTACACAACTGGCCGAAAACTTCGATTTCACATTTGGGATCAACATCTGAAAGGAAGATCATACAAAAGAAGGAAGCAGCAAGACCCCGCTAAATGCCGTTGCCTTTGGGAGGGATGTGGCAAGACGTACACGTGTAACAAAAACCTCAATATGCACTTGCGCCAGCACACAGGTGAACTCCCCTTTATATGCGATCATCAAGGCTGTGGTCAGGCCTTCGCTCGAACTTCACACTTGAGGGACCATAAGTCAAAGAGATGTCACCCAAGAGGCAAATATTTCAAGCCTCCAAAGCCTGGCTGTTCTCCTTCATCGCATGCTGAAAGTGTATCAGACATAGAACAGCCATTACCAGGCGTGAGAGGTGCTTTTGAAGCAGATGCTGCATCTTTTGCTAACAGTATAGAATCAGCACCGCAATCACAGAAGCAGGACCTAGCACCGTCACCACCACGGGAGTGGCACCCAGCATCTCCACCACCACGGGGTTGGCACCCAGCACCGTCACCACCACGGGAGAGGCACCCAGTATCTTTATCACCACCACGGGGTTGGCACCCAGCACCGTCACCACCACGGGAGTGGCATCCAGCACCGCCACCACCACGGGAGTGGCATCCAGCACCTCCACCACCACCGGGTTGGCACCCAGCACCTTCACCACAACAGGAGTGGCACCCAGCACCTACACCACCATGGGAGTGGCACACAGCACCTTCACCACAGCAGCACCAGCACAACCCAGGATCGCCATCACATCAGCAGTATCGCCAAGCACCGCCACTACCCCAGCAGCAGCGGCCAGAACCGGCACCACTACGGGAGTGGCACCCAGCACCTTCACCACAGCAGCACCAGCAGAACCGTGGATCGCCACTACCCCAGCAGCAGCGCCCAGCACCGCCACCACTACGGGAGTGGCACGCAGCACCTTCACCACAGCAGCACCAGCAGAACCCAGGATCGCCACTACCCGGCAGCAGCGGCCAGCACCGCCACTACCCCAGCAGCAGCGGCCAGCACCACCACTACCCCAGCAGCAGCGGCCAGCACCGCCGCTACGCCAGCAGCAGCGGCCAGCACCGCCACTACCCCAGCAGCAGCGGCCAGCACCGCCACTACCCCAGCAGCAGCGGCCAGCACCGCCACCACTACGGGAGTGGCACACAGCACCTCCACCACAGCAGCACCAGCAGAACCCAGGATCGCCATCACATCAGCAGTATCGCCCAGCACCGCCACTACCCCGGCAGCAGCGGCCAGCACCGCAACTACCCCAGCAGCAGCAGCCAGAACCGGCACCACCACTACGGGAGTGGCACCCAGCACCTCCACCACAGCAGCACCAGTAGAACCCAGGATCGCCATCACATCAGCAGTATCGCCCAGCACCGCCACTACCCCAGCAGTATCGCCCAGCACCACCACCACTACGGAATCAGCAGTTCCCCGTCCTTGCACCACAGTACCAGAGACACTGCACCTGCGAACGCCACCACCATGGCAACTGAAGCGCCCAACAGCCCCTGGCACCGCCACTGAACAGCAGCACCCAGCACCTTCAATATCACCATAGCAACAGTGCGAGGCCCCATTATCACCATAGAAACAGTGCGGGACACCACTACCACACCACCACGTAGCCAATCACCACAGCAGCAAGTCTGTCCACAGCAACCACCACAGTAGCAGCCGATTTCACTGCCACTGACACCAAAATGGCAGCATCCCACGCCTGAGAAACAGCAGCATCACCTTTACCACTAGCATTATCCCGAGTAGTAGAAACAGCATACACAGCAAGATAAACAGTTTGCATCTAGCGTCACCACCGACAAGAATTCCAAAACAGCTTACTCTTCTGCATGTGATCATGGCCTCCTGGAATGCTGATGAACAGCAGCTTAGTCACAACGTACACAACCTGATTAACGCACTGCCCCTTATCTATGTTCACACATCTAGCCCTTACAAGAAATCAGTGTAATGAAACATTTGTAGATACATTGATAACATTTATAATAGCTGGTTACTTGCCACTGATCGCTAGCCCACAATAACAAAAGTGTTCTCTGTTCAGTATGTCTCACTGTCGAGGTGTGTATTCTAATGAAACAATTACGCCTATAGCTGTTCTACTCGACCTCTTCCTGTCTATTCTTAATGTGTCTCGGATATCCTACTATTTTAGATTTTTTTTAGATAATCATGCTGGATTCTATCACTAGCATAAGCCACTGATAAGGACTTCTTGGCCGTATAAATCAGAGTCGCCTCTGCTGTAGGGAGTCTTCTTGTTTGATGTCGATTCTTGTTGTCGCAACCCTGTTCCGTCTTATGTTTCGTTTGTTTGTTGCAATCCGTCAGCTGTATTTAGGTGTGGCCCAAACCTTAAGTGTGTAAAGACGACTTTGTCCTATTTTGTGTTAACAAACACTATTTTTATATTTGTGAAGCCAATTTTTGGTGGGACAAGAGGTCCGAAGCATCTCAATTCCATAAATGGACAGTTGTCCGCTGGTGTGAAAATGGCCCTTGTCCCATCAGTTTGAGCAGCACGTTTTGTGAGCGGACTTTGAAGTGAAGAATATTTCAGCGCCTTCTACTGTAGTTTGTGCGTCTCACCTTGGATCATAATTATTGTAAGAGGGATGCTGGTAGGAAACAATTCCCCTCAGCATTTCTTCCAATGCTGTACAGTGTACTAGTGCAAGTACAACCCATGTACATGTATGGGAAGTTATTGCATGGAGCTGCCAGTCACGTGAGGGTATTGCATGGAGATGATGACAGTCCAAGTACGGGTACACCCATCTTCTACTCGCTGCCTGTGTCTAAGGTTGTGCTATTGTCTCCCCTTCGTACGTTGCTACTATAGTGCAACGGTTGGCTCCACACGTTATTTCATTTTTTTATCTTATTGTATTTAAGGATTTCCCAAAGGCTTTGGGCCTGTCGAGGGGATCTCCTGGAAGAAGAATGAAATGACAACTTTGAGGGAGCAGTTAATCGAGAATAGGCTAAGGAAATAGATCGAGGCATGCAAAATCTGGTAATAAAGGAGTTGGGATACCGTAAGTGTAATGAATATATCGGCGAAAATGCTGATAGAGAGAATGCTTATGACCGTGGTTACAGTAGAAAAAGCTTATTCGCATTTCAGCTTCCTCCTGTCTCTTGTAAACTTGTGTGAAAATTAGAGAATGTCTTCCTGGTGTGTACTATACTTTAGCTGCTTCATCTCCCACAAATCCTACACCACTACCCACAATGTTCGCGAACCTTTGGTCATGGTGGACATTTCTCGTCCCCTAACTTTCCCCTACATTTCTCTCCACCTAACTTACCACTACATTTCTCACCACCTAACTTTCCACTAAATTTCTCACCACCTCACTTTCCACTACATTTCTCACCTAACTTACCACTACATTTCTCATCACCTAACTTTCCCCTACATTTCTCACCACCTAACTTACCACTACATTTCTCACCACCTAACTTACCACTACATTTCTCACCACCTAACTTACCACTACATTTCTCACCACCTAACTTACCACTACATTTCTCACCACCTAACTTACCACTACATTTCTCACCACCTAACTTACCACTACATTTCTCACCACCTAACTTACCACTACATTTCTCACCACCTAACTTACCACTACATTTCTCACCACCTAACTTACCACTACATTTCTCACCACCTAACTTACCACTACATTTCTCACCACCTAACTTACCACTACATTTCTCACCACCTTACTTACCACTACATTTCTCACCACCTAACTTACCACTACATTTCTCACCACCTAACTTACCACTACATTTCTCACCACCTAACTTACCACTACATTTCTCACCACCTAACTTACCACTACATTTCTCACCACCTAACTTACCACTACATTTCTCACCACCTAACTTACCACTACATTTCTCACCTCCTAACTTACCACTACATTTCTCACCACCTAACTTACCACTACATTTCTCACCACCTAACTTACCACTACATTTCTCACCACCTAACTTACCACTACATTTCTCTCCACCTAACTTACCACTACATTTCTCACCACCTAACTTACCACTACATTTCTCACCACCTAACTTACCACTACATTTCTCACCACCTAACTTACCACTACATTTCTCACCACCTAACTTACCACTACATTTCTCACCACCTAACTTACCACTACATTTCTCTCCACCTAACTTACCACTACATTTCTCATCACCTAACTTACCACTACATTTCTCACCACCTAACTTACCACTACATTTCTCACCACCTAACTTACCACTACATTTCTCACCACCTAACTTACCACTACATTTCTCACCACCTAACTTACCACTACATTTCTCACCACCTAACTTACCACTACATTTCTCACCACCTAACTTACCACTACATTTCTCACCACCTAACTTACCACTACATTTCTCACCACCTAACTTACCACTACATTTCTCACCACCTAACTTACCACTACATTTCTCTCCACCTAACTTACCACTACATTTCTCACCACCTAACTTACCACTACATTTCTCACCACCTAACTTACCACTACATTTCTCACCACCTAACTTACCACTACATTTCTCACCTCCTAACTTACCACTACATTTCTCACCACCTAACTTACCACTCCATTTCTCTCCACCTAACTTACCACTACATTTCTCATCACCTAACTTACCACTACATTTCTCACCACCTAACTTACCACTACATTTCTCACCACCTAACCTACCACTACATTTCTCACCACCTAACTTACCACTACATTTCTCACCACCTAACTTACCACTACATTTCTCACCACCTAACTTACCACTACATTTCTCACCACCTAACTTACCACTACATTTCTCACCACCTAACTTACCACTACATTTCTCACCACCTAACTTACCACTACATTTCTCACCACCTAACTTACCACTACATTTCTCACCACCTAACTTACCCCTATTAGAGTACCGTACTCACTATACTGCATCAGTCACCATTATCATACCAATACCGGTCATTTGCCTTTATTGCAGTATAATTATAAGATGATATCTCACCATTAGCTGTTAAGGTGGCAGACTACCCAAAAATTCGCTGAAAAATCGAATTTGTAAATTCATATTGAATGCCACGTCAGTTGAAAGAGCATGAATAGCTGCAAATTCTCTGAAAATTGTGTCCCGATCTGACCGGCCGTTATGGCCGAAAATGTGCCCTTGCAAGGAAAGATTTTTTTTGTTGCACGCTGTCATTTGTTGGCAGCACTGTATTTGAATGTGAGCAGACCGTGCGCAACTTGTCGTATCATGGAAACACGTGAAAGTGTGCAGAATTTTGCTCCAAGTCCAAAAAATCAGGTTTTTGAGCCACGTATTGGGCTGCACGGCGGCGGGCGAAGCCCGCCGCCGTGCAGCAGGACTTTTGCCAGCACCCTCGTGACGTTGCAGATATGTGGCTTGATTATTGTAGTTGACGTTAGTTTAGTGACTTTGGCAAGTTTGAGTCGTGTCAAGAAGTCAGGTAGGATTCAGTACTAGGCAGTAGTGAAACGTGAGTGGTAGTCTTTGCCGGTTTCTGAGGGTATCCTGGATTTGGTGTGCAGCGCTGGGGAAATGGCTTGCTGTGGAGGTCCCAGCACTGGATGTTGTATCAAAGGTACGACTGTTGTATACATTGCATGCATCATAGGAGTCAATGTGTCATATCATGTTTCTCATGCTATTCATCCTTGCTCTCGCTAGACTAGACGTCTGCGTAGGGACAGCTTGCCGGTGTGCTGCATGCATTCATTGCTACAGTGCGTTTTTTTTATAACAGACCATTGTCGATTTTGGTTTTTTAGTTTGTTCTCATTCCAAATTTGAAATTTTTTCTTCACAGCTGCGTTTGTGTGGGTCTTGGATCGAAGAAAATTAAGTTTGGGAGTCGGAATAATAATAATTGTCAAAGTTAGATATTCGGCCGGGTTTCGGCTGGAAATCCGGTTTTAAATGGTTTTCAGTGGATTTTGATTTTTTAAACGGAAGTTTTAGCCAGGAAAGCTCATCACTTGCATGGTGCCCGGCATGAGTTCGAATCCAGTACAGTTCATCTTGATTCTTTTTTTCTTTTCTTTTTCGGTATACTGTAGTACAGCGCATGCATGTACATGTACATGCACATGGCTGTGGAGGTGTGCACTGCTGTCTGCAGTTCTCCTAACCTTTGTAGGAAACCAGTGAGTCGTGGCTTTTCACGACTTATTGTGGCAAACTGTACTGAATAATTCAAGTCCTGTATTGCAATTAGCTCAATAAATCAAAACATTCCAGCATGCATGTAGGAAACTTCCCTCGATCCCTGAAAGAATGCAGTGAAAATTCAAACACCACAACAAATCACAAAGGCAATTCACACAGCTCCCATAAAGAGACTAACAAAAAGGAAGCATGAGCAGTTTTACAA